AATTATATTTGGGATTTCAGGGTGTTAATACGGGTTTGTATTTATCAGTAATAGACCAAAGATAGGCCTTCTTGTTTAATATTTCCTTTAATCAGAAACAGAATACTACTTTAAGTAATAAGATCTTGTGTATGGTATCTTGGAGGTTGTACACAGACACATTAGCATTATGAAGGAGGATGCTCGGTGTAGCATATTTGACAGTTTCTAAGGGAAATTACACATTTGCTGAGGACTTAAGTTGAAAGAACTACACTAGGTGTTGAGAAGTTTGCATTTTGGAGAAATTGTAAGGGACATAGTCCTGAGGTTTCTGATCTTATATTTTGATGATGTTGCTCATTGTCTTATATTGCATGGAGATGGAAAGTTTTAAAGGGTTAGCTTTAGGTGGCTGTGATTTTAGTTAGTGATTCCTATCTTATTCTCATAGTGGTCAATATATCGTGTCATTTTAATTTACCATAGGTAGCACTAATAGCTTTTTTTAAAATCTCTTACGCAGGGATGAAAATAGGTATACCTAGAAGCAAATTTTAAAAGCAGTTTCTCTTCAAATCATCTTTTTTCATACCACCTGATAAGCATCTCGATTCATCATGGCTGTAGCAGCAGTAAAATGGGCACTATCAAACAGATCTCTCTTGAAAGATTTATTTCCAATTAAAAGTAAGTGAGCTTTTTAATGTTTAAAAAGTTTTAAACTTTTTCAAATATTTTAGAAATATTTATTCATTATAGAATATTTAAAGCATTTGGTTACTGTATATGTCTTTTAATGCCTGGAGCGTTTGCAATAATGGAAAAAGGAAGAAAATTATAAATGTTTATTAAAAGGGGGATGGATAAATTATGGTACATCTTTACTATATGTAAATATCTCCACATGGAAGGGGAAAAAAGTGTGTCAGAACAATATTGTATGATCTTATTTGTGCATTTAAAAGACGATCTACCGTGTGTGTGTGTGTGTGTGTGTGTGTGTGTGTGTGTGTGTAAATATAGAGTAAAAAGTATGGACCAAATAGGTTATCTGTGTAGACCGCAAGTAACATTTTTAGCTGAGTGCAAGTGAGGGATTGATAAAGAGGAACTTTCTCTGGTTTGAATCATTTATATTTACTATATTTTTACATATTACTTTTTTAGTAGTACTTAAAATCAGCAAATAAAGGGCAAAGTTACAATTCTATCTTAGATAATCATTGTTAATATTCTGGTGTATTCTCTGTGGTTTTTTTTGTATGGATTTAGGCATTAAAAAATAAAATGTAATTTCTTTTCTAAACAAATGTATGTAGTCTTTTTCTTCAAAGCCTATTAATACATGTTTGATAGTCAAAACATTAATCTATATAAGTAAATAAATTATTAAAGTCTTATTTCCCAGCCAACCTTTCTTTCACTTACTTTTTCCACTGTCTGTGAATGCTATTCTCCCATTTCAGACATAGAGGACTACAATAGGTTTGCTTTTTCACATTTAGCTACATCAGCCAACTTTTTTACACATCTCTGCCTCATGTGAATCTCTTCCTTCACGTTCATTTATTGAGTTATGAGGAAAAGAGTTGTTTGAAGGCTAGTATAAATGGTATAAGTAAAAGTATAATTAATTAAGTAAACCCACGAGGAGATTGCTAAGATACTTTACATATAAATCAGAGTCCAAGCAAAACAAAACTACAGTCAGCTCTTGATTACCTAGGAACATTTTTGTTGTTGAGAATTGGGAGTGAGACCACTGCTGCTTAGCCTTCTCTTTGCCCTGACAGGAACCCAACCCCAAGGCTGATGGAAAATCAGACCTAATCAGTTTTTACCTAGTCTATGTCCTGACACAACATTAGTTCTCACTTAGGTTAATCTGAAATCCAATTAATCTGCCCCTGGATAAGTGAAAATTGTGTATGTAGATTGTAGATCGTATTGTGTATGTAGATTGTAGAAATCTAGATTGTAGATTTATACAGCATCTAATTTATTTGGTTTCATCAGTGCCTCTCATACGTATGTGATAGGTGATAAATGTTTGTTGAACTGATCCAAATGGATTGGAGTTATCAAATTATGTAGTTAACTAAAAATTAACTTACGTTACCTCAGAAAATTTATCAGTCATCCTAGTACTCAATGACCAACTTCTTGCATGTGAAAGCCCCTTGTTCTGCACAATTTCTGTTATTAGTATTATTGAAAGTAAAGTATTATTACTATTATTGATATTTTATTTAAAAGAAAAGACATTAGAAGCAAAGTAAAACCATGATTAAGGAAGAAAGTTCAATGAGCAAAAATAAAAAGTCTTCCCTACATTTCAGAAGAAACTTAAAAAAACTTTCCACAACATATAGTCAACATGGGAATGTGGAACATTTTACAATTTTTTAAGTTATATTAAGCCATTTGATCTTTACATCTTTGAATTTTACAACTTTGAATAATACCACTTGGTATGCTATGCAATACTCTTTCTGAAGATGAAGGAACTTGAGTTCTCTGGCCACCAGAAACTTACCCAAAGTTGTATGTCTGGTAAATGAGAACTGTGATCAAAACCTAGGTCTCCTTGTCTTACTTTGTCCAATACATCTTCTGCTGTACTGCCTTTCTTTTAGTAACTTAAAATATTGAACATTTGTAAATTAAGTGGGGCTATCAGCTTTCATATATCTTATTAAAATGCAATTTAACACACACACACGTATGTAACGAATAGCCCATAACTTAGAGAGAGCTAACTCTCATTGCAATTCTTTCTGGCATATTTAATTGCTTTGGATCGATTGATGTTAACTTTGGCATCAGTTCTAATTACATATTTAGAACCTCTGATACTGACCATATCTAGAATTTTTATCTTGATAAAATGTCATGTGAGGTTTTTATGTATTGATTCTGCAGAAATGAACATTTTAGAGGCAGTTTGGCAGTCATTTTATTTGTAGCCACTATAGAGAATACAGTAATGAACATTGTGTGTTTCCTGACCTTAAGGAACTAATTTAGACTTTTGAGTCAAAAAGACATCTGTGGAAACAAGAGATACCTAGAATATGAGGTAGAATGTGATATATATCATGAGGGTACAAACAAATGTCTATGTAAGTACAGATTAGAAATTTTACAGTTTCTTGAACTGAAATACTGTTGTCTTGAGTTTTCCCTCCTGCCTATTTAAGAAAACTTACTTCTGTCTGTCCTACTTCTGCCATCTAACCCTGTTCCTTTAAGCGAACATGTACATCACCTAGCTGGTTTGTACTCAGAGAATAAAAATTTTTTTAATATTAATCCATGCATAATTAGGAAGATCCTCAACAGTGTCAAACAAGAAAATAAAATATGTAAATGTTTTTTACTTTATCCTCTGATTTGTCTTATTGAATGCTCCTCTGTATTAGCACAGATAATTGAAAACAAATCTTGAGAAACAAGGTTAAATTTCCAATTCCTTGTATTTTGTTATATCTGTAGAATTTGGGGATTGACATTTTGCTGAATAATCTTTTATGATAGTAGTGAATTTTGTTAAGGTACTTTTTATGCTGTGGGGTAGGAATTTATATTTAGACCTCTGAGTGTATGCAATCCTTGGGGAAAAGACAGGTATACAAACATGGAAGACATCTTTTTTACATCTCTTTGATATACATAAATAACCGATGCAGAAAAAAAATGACCACAAAGAAAGTATAGTAATGTCATATGGAGCGCTGGTTGTGGGACACGTAAAATAGACAACTCTTCTTTCTGTGATGGGGATTGTGGGCAGGGAGGGGAATAAGGATTTCATGGAAGAGTAGCGTTCAATTCTGAAGGGGGAGTGATTTGAACAAACTGGGGATGGCGTTTCATTCTGAGGAGCAAGAGGCTCAGTTAAGAGAGGTTGCTCCTTGGATTTAGCCAAGTTATCTTGAGAGCTTGCTTTTTTTGTGAGCTACATTTACATTTTTTTTCTCTATATTTAAAAGAATACCTTTTTTCTGAACATAGGAGAACCTTTCACAAGCTTTTAAAAAAGTAGTTATGGCTCTTTAATTTGTAGGTATCCTAAAAGAGGAAAATGTACTTTGAAATACGAGCATTTTGATTAAGGAAAAATTAATTTTAACAATTTATTTTGTATTTCATCACCTGACACTCCCCCTTTATAAATTGTTCACTCTAGTACATGAAAGTTTTTAGAATACCCAAATACTTCATGTTCTTTCTTGCCTCTGGTCCTTGGTACTTGTTATTCCCTCTGCAAGGAACATTATACTTACTCCTACCAACTCCTGTTTACCCCCAACCTTCAGAGTACCTTACACGTCATCTCCACTGTGTTTCTTTCTCTCCCAATGCTTACCCATGCTAACAGGGCTTATCTTTTATATTGGAATTGTTTGTTCACTTCTCTATCACCGGACTTGTACTGTTTCTGAGAGTAGAGACTGGATCTTACTTATTGAATCCCTGGCCCCTAGTACATCCATGTTTCATAGTAAACACAACAAATAGTGGTCGAATGCGTGAAACTAGCTTTATATTTATGTGAGAACATATGCTCAAATTAACTAAATCTACTTTACTGTTTGGAGTTTTTGCAGATGGAGCTTTATGTTGTGTTTCTCATAAATCTACATATTCTTCTCTTCCAGATGACTATAATTGGTATGTATCAAAATTCAATTGAAAAAAATTACAGTCTGTTTGCTGTATCTGAAATGATTTTATTTCTTATTTTGGGATTTTCTGCTTTTTGATTATTCTTTAATTTTATTTTTTAAAATGATTTCAGTGATCTTGTTTGCCTAGTATCTGGGCTTATAAACGTTTCAAATAAAAATCATTATCATTGTGTTTTAGTGAATACCTAATTTGTTGTTAAGAGACATGCTATTAGCAATGCTCTTCTTCCTGAAGCATTCTTTAGCTTCCTGGAAAATTTAATTAGTTTTTATAGTTTTCTCAGGGTTTATATCTGTTACTTTATACAGTTATCTTTTATTTGACATTGAATAATCCTAAATTACAAATATTTAATTCAACCACAATTTATTTGGTACTTATTCAATTCTAGTCACTGCTAAGAACCAGGAATAATGTATGAATAAGATGTCTTTGTTTCTCTATAGCAGAGTCTAGTATGTGGAAACTGTAACATATTTTCTTAAGCTACCTTTTTTTTAATTGTAAATTTTAGTAAAAAAATGTATTTTCTTCCCTTTGGACACTGTGTAGTTTTAATCATATATTTAGTAAGTGCTAAAATAGCGATGAAGTTAGACAAGGAAATAGGTAACATTTTTGAACCTGAAAAGAATGAGTCTTATAACTGTTTTGGCTTTATGTAAAACTCCATCCTTCAGCAAAAATCTTTTGTTAGATTAAATGTTCATCATAGTCCTGTTATGATATTCAATCTTAAAAGATTAGTGAAACAACCTAATACCTTACCCTGTGTTAGCTAAAATATATGTTATAGTTTAACTGCTGGTCTGGCTCAAATACGCTAGCTGTTGAAATCCTAGAAACTTAAGTTTACAGACATCTAGAGAACACATAAATTTAACAGAAGCTGAAAGTTGTGTTCCTTAGAATATATATGGTTCCAAGTACAATAGTAATTGCCAGAATCTTTGAAAACAGGCTTGGTTACTAGGTACCTGAAGGAAGGAGATCTAGCTAGAGAATTCCTGGAAATATTTAGAGGAGTATTGCCCAGAATGTGTTCTTCTGAGGAATATTAATGGAGAGAAGGGATAATGTTTAGTAATGCCCAAATTTGTTTAACCACAGAACCCTTTTTACCGGAAGCTTCTTACAGTTGTACTGTTCTGCTAAAGGAAAAATGCCTATCTAGAAAAAGTGCTCAGCTACAATCTTTATGATTAGAAATTCAGGTGATCCTTTACCTGGAAGATCATATACTTTGCTGATCTTTAACTTTAATAATTCAACCAAGTAATGTCCTTCTTGAAGGTAGTTACTAGATAAGGAGAAGAAGTTCTAATAATAGTGACGAATAAACATGAAGGTATCTTCCAAAGATTTGGATAGATTAAAAACAAATAATTTAGATAAAATAGTGGGTAATTAAGAGTTTGTTGTGATAAACTGACATATTTTGTGGGATAGTCTGAGTTGTCCTCTATGATATGGGTACCAGGTTTGCCAGTGACATGGCATCTATTCTTCAGGGATTCATGATTAATTAATTTTAGCTCTAAGAATAATTATTCTGCTTTGAATACAGTATAACTATGTTTTTAAAACATTCTTTTTTAGCAAAGTAGAGCTTGCTTTGACATCTGATGGCAGGACAATAGTATGCTACCATCCTTCTGTTGATATTCCATATGAACACACAAAAGTATGTATGAGAAAATCTCTTGTCATTTTTAATTTGCTGTTAGAAATATTCACTCTTCCTTACAGTAACCAAAGAGGAGGATTTCCTTTTATTTGATTTTTTAAATTTGGCTTAGATTTTTTTTTGACTTTTTACTGTTTTGATTTTTCTCTTATTTCTGTTTCATCGTTCTTTAAAGGCTGTTTTCAGTACACAGGGTGAACCATTTAAACACAATTATGGCATCAGTTTTCTGGTCTAAAATTTGGTAGATTTCTGATTAGAGATCAAACACACCTGACATAAACTTACAAAACACATTGTCCCATACTAGTCTATGTTATAATCTAATAAATTATGAAAAACTTATATTTTAGAGTGCTGTTTCATGACTTTTATATTGTATTGGTTCTGATAATCCTTTTACTGTTTGGTAAATTTCTTTTTAGTTTTTTGTTAGTTTTTTTCTAATTGGCCAACATGGGCATGTATTTTAAGTGGCCTAGTTTAATTTCTATAAAAGCTAGGCACTAGATGGGGGAGAGGTTTTGTTTTTGTTTTTAATACAATTTATTTTAGCTTGGCTCAAGTCTTTTTATTTTATATTTGAAATGTTTCTCCTGTTTCTTTAAGCCTTCTACTATATTTGGTAATGTTCGATTTGCTTTTTTGAGGAGAAAATAATTAGATAATTCAAGCCATCACATGATGCATCTAGTGGTACCTATTTTTAAAAATTATCATTAGAGCCAGAGTACTGGTTGATTTGCAAAATAGATTAATGTTATTTTGCTAGTTTTTGTTCCCTTTTTAACCTCACCATTTTGTCTGCCTGCTTTGTGTTCTAGCCAAATATAGTAGGCAATATTCCAGTACCTCTTTTGTTTCTTTTATTTGGGCAGTTTGTGGAAAATAGGGCTAAGGCAATGACTTTTGGCCTGTAAACCTTCCAGCTCACACTATTATGTGCCTTCTTGCGTTTCTATTTTGTGATATATTTCTGGTTACGTAGTTTATCCTGTTTTAGTAGTTATACCAAGAAGCCCAGCACTGCGAGGTCATTTCTCAGCATCCAGACTCTCATTCCATATATGGTTCTTTACATCCCTGAATCTGACCTTTCTCCTATCCCTCCTAACTCTGAAAACTTTTCCACTGTACTTTTAGAACACTATCAAAAATGAAATCTTTCATAAACTTAACATCTTCCAGAATGTTGCCTTCACCTTCTAGCTTAATGGAAACCTGGCTATACTCTGGGGCCAGTGCTTCCCTGGCCATTGCTGTTTTCTCTCTTATATCCTTTTATTACTGGGCCTAGAGGTGGGGTAGGTGTCTCTGTAGCTCCTCATTATCACATCTAGACCATTTTTCCTTCTCTTTAACAATTTCTAGCTTTGTAGTTTGTATCATTAAACTATACCATTCACTACCTTTTTTTGTTGCCATCACCTCCCAATCCGCAGTTTACTTCTCTCATTCCATCCTTCTACTCTTGAAGATTTTAGATGTACTGTCACTCTCCACACTGTTTCTATCCTCATTCTTTGTTATTTCAATATCCATGTAGATGATCTGGTCTCTCACTTCTTGCTCTTTTCTCTCTGCTTCAACCTCCACTGCAATGGTACCCTAGAGATATTCTAATCACAAATAACTGGCCCTCCTTCCTTCCAGTCTTGCATTCTTGAAAACATGTTACTCTTAGAGTATATTCCTTTGAATTCATATTTACAAATTTCATGATGATAATATATAACATTAAATATCCTCAAACATGACTTAAAATTTAGACTTGATTTTACTCTTTTCTCCAGGAAGTAGGGCTGCAACTCTAGTAGGCCCTTTGATTCTTGGTCATGTGTAGAAATACTAATTAAGACTAGCTTTAAGAAAGTTAAGATGAGCTCTTTCTATAAGCAGCCTGAGGTGACCTCTGAAAATACTTCACTATTCCCTTGACCCAGAAAACCCCACAAAATCATGCAAATCAAGAGGTCAGATCTTCGTGTTCACTTTAAGAACACTCACAAAGTTGCCCACGCCATCGAGGGTATGCGTATTTGAAAAGCTACCAAGTACATGAAGGATGCCAATTTATAGAAGCAGTGTGTACCATTCCTTTGTTACAGTGGTGGAGTTGGTAGGTTTGCCTATGCCAAGTAGTGGGGCAGGATGCAGAGTCGGTGGCCCAAAAAGAGTACTGAATTTTTGCTGCACGTGCTTAAAAATGTAGAGAGTGATGCTGAACTTCAAGGTTTAGATGCAGACTCTGGCACACACAGGAGAACAAGGCTCCTGAGATACAGCTCAAGAAGGTACAGAGCTCATGAGTGGGTGAACCCTACATGAGCGCCCCCCGCCACACTGAGACGGTCTTCAGTGAAACGGAGCAGAGTGTTCCTGAGCCAAAAGATGAGCTTGCACAGAAGAAAATGATGTCCCAAGAGAAGCTGAAGAAACAAACTTATGGCCCCGGAGTATATTTAGCATCAAATAAATGCTAATAATGAATGGTAAAAGGAGAAAAAAGAAAGTTAAGATGATTTGCTTCTTTGGTCTTCTGGTAATTTACATTTGAATCTAAAACATGTTGATTATCTTCTATAGGTCTAGGTAAAAAAGATCCTCCTTTCTACTTCTGCCAGGTGTATGTTTTATTAAAAGTACTAATGTTCTAAAAAAGTTTTTCAAATTTAGGATTTCTAGTTTAGGAAAATAAATATATTATACCAGGGGCAAAAAAATAATGACTTGGAAAAATGAAGTAAAAATGTAAATACTAGGGAGTTCTTTTTGGTGGTTGATTTAGTGGAAAATTTTGCATGTCAAGTTTTTTAAATTCTTGAGAAAAATGGGAAACTCAGGCTGACAGTTATGAATAAAGTTGAAATTCAGGTTCTTTAAAAAGCTTTTTCTTTTTTATTGAAATATTTATGTACCCTTTCTTTGAAGCTGGTCGAGGAGATCAAATACTACCTAAAAATTCTGGGTCTGCAAGAGGCTTTTGGTATAGACTTTGAAGAAGCCATTAATTCCAATGTCTTATCTACGTGCCTGGAAAAATAACCTGTTTTTAATCACACAAAGCAGAGAGAATTTGTGACATATTAGAATTGAGCTGGCTTGAGAATAGGATCAGAGACCACGAACATTTATTAACACTTGAAAATAACTTTTTGATAATATTTAAAACATTTGATCTTTAGCAAAAAGTTACTATAGGTTACTATACTAACCTAAAAGAGAAAAAACTATATGCCATAATCCCATATTTGCTTGTACCCCACAGGATCTGATATTAACTTACAAAGACATTTATTAATATTTCACTTTATAAATGAGATGATACTTTAACATTACTTTAAGTGTCTAAGGAGCACTTTTTTTAAAAAATAAATTTATATTATTTTTTCTGCTTGAGGACATAAAAGAAATGTTAATAGCTACCTATTATTATTAAACTCTTAGAGAATGAGAGACAGCTAAGCAATCAATATCTTATTATCTCACTGAATCCTCATCAAACCCTTATTAGATAGATATTACTTCTCTGATTTTATAGAAAGGGAAATTAAGAGCTTAAATAACTTGCCCAAGGTCACAGAGCTAATAAGTGATAGAATCAAAGTCCAAAGCCTAAGTTCTTAACCTCTTCATTATACTTTCTCCTTATTCCCTCTCATACTAAGTGATTCCTTATTTCTACTTATGTCAAATTGTTACTTCTAAGTCTAACAGTGAAGGCCTTTCATAATCTGGTTTTGTGAGATCTATTTTTAAAGATTATCTCTTTATCATGTGTTCTTACCTATGTTTCTTTACTCACAAGGTTTATTATTCCTTGTCAGGTATATTCTTCACTTGGCAACAAGTCTCTTGTTCTACTTCTCACTGATATCTTTGTTATTTTGCATTTCTGATATATTTGTGCCACCTTCATGCACTTATATATATTGCTTTTTAATGAGGTCTTATTATTTTATGTACATAAGCTAAATAAATATAAGTATATAACACACACTCAGATTGCCATAAAACATCATTTTTGGGCATTTAATTCATCAAAATAAAAACTACATTTTTCCTGCTTCCATTTGATATAAGAAATGTCATTTCAGTGCAAGACTTTTCATTGTATCTCACTTTAATGATATACAAGGTAGAGACTAAACTTTTAAGTTAAAAAATAGAAGGCACAATTTATAAGTTTGAGAAATAGGAATTAAGGTAACAAGTCTTTAATGAATAATGCAAATAAGCAAAACTCTGTTCTGATATCTACCTACCTATATTGTAATGAATTCTTGAGCATGGTAATTTTACTGTAAACTCAATCAAATACTGGCTAACATTCTTTCATTTTGATGCTGTTCATTACTGATTATTTTGTAGCCTATCCCTCGACCAGATCCTGTACATAATCATGAAGAAACACAGGATCAAGTGCTGAAAACCAGATTAGAAGAAAAAGATGAACACTTTGAGCAAGGACCCATGATAGAGCAACTTAGCAAAATGTTCTTTACTACTAAGCACCAATGGTATCCTCGTGGACAGTAAGTTCTATTTTCTTTACTCTTGTTATCTCAAAAAAAAAAAAGGTATAATAATGCCTAATTTGTATAGTGTTTTTGAGATAAATATAATCATATAGGTTAAGCATGTGGCATATGGTATATACTCAATATGGTAATGATAATTATTAATATTGTCTCCTACTCATAGTTTTCCTCTTAACTCACTCTTCTTGAAGAATCTTTCCTTAAATAAGCTCTTGTGGGGTATAATTGACATACAGAAAAATTAATCAGTTTTAAGTATACAATTCTATGAGTTATGACAAATGTATACCATTGTATGGTCAATACCACAATCATAATATAGACTATTTTATCACTCCAGAAAGTTCTCTTGTGCCCTTTTGCCATTCCCTTCCTTTAACCCCTAACCCTAGCAATCACTGATCTGCTTCCCATCACTTTTTAGAATTTAATGAATTTCTAGAATATCATGTTTTACCCTTTCTAGAATTTCATGTAAATGGAATTATACAGTATGTAAGCTTTTGTGTCAGGCTTATTTCACTTAATTTAATACTTATGAGCTTCATCCATACTGTGTATGCAAGGGATTGTCCCTTTTTATTTCTGAGTGGTATTCCCTAGTATGGATAGACCACAATTTGTTTATTTGCCAATTGATGGCAATTTTGGATTCTTTACAGTTTCGGGCTCTTATGAATAAAGCTGCATAAATGTTCAGGTACAAGTCATTATATTGATGTATTTCATTTCTCTTGGGTAAATACCTAAGAGTAGGATTACTCAATTTGTGATAAGGGCCTCTTTAAATTCATAATAAACTGTCAAAGTGACTGAACCATTTTGCATTCCCACCAGTAGTGCGTGAGAGTTCTAGTTATTCCACATCTTCCTCAATACTGGGTATTATCAGTCTTTTTAATTTTAGTCATTTTTTTGGATAAGAAGTAGTCTTTCTTTGTGATTTTAATTTATGTTTTGCTAATGACTAAAGAAGTTGAAATCTTTTCATGTGCTTATTGGCCATTCGTATGTTTTGGGCTTTGTTTGTTTGTTTGTTTGTTTTTTTGGTGAAGTATCTACAAATGTTTTGGCTGTTTTTCAAAAAAAAGTAGATTGATTGTCTTATTAAGGTGTAAAACTTGTAGATGAAAGTCCCTTATGAGATAGATATGTTTTGCAAATATTTACTGCCTGTCTTTAGCTTGCCTTTCATTTCCTTAACAATTTTTTTTGATGATCAAAAGTTTTTAATTTTGATGAAGTCATTTACAAATTTTTCCTTTTTAGGTTTTTGTGTCCTAGTTAAAAAAATCTTTGCCTAATCCAAGGTTACTAAGGCTTTTTTACTATGTTTTATGCTAGAATTTTTATAATTTTAGCTCTAATATTTAGGTCTATAACCCATTTAGAGTTAATATTTATATACATGGTATGAGGCATGGATCAAGGTATATATTTTTTTGCATCTGTATATCTAGTTGTTCCAACACCATTAGTTGGAAATATTATCTTTCCTCATTGAATTGTCCTAGCACCTTGGTTGAAAATCAATTGACCATATATGTGGGTCCTGTACTCTCTATTTTGTTCTATTAACCCATTTCTTGTTTGCCCCAAAAATACTTTCTGGCGACACTTGTGGCTGCAGCATTTACTCCAAGATAACTTGTGGATTACAGTCCTAACCTAAACCCAAAGTTTGCCACAAAATATCTCTCTTTTATTATTTTTACGTCGCTATAATATTCAATAGTCTTTGGAAACAAATGACATCATTCTGTTTATAGCATTCTGTTTTTAGTAGTGGTATTTCCATTTACAAAATATAGTAAATCTTGATTGCTGAAAATGTCAAATCCTAGAAAATATAACATTCCTATGCATGATATTAACATCATTCTCGAACAGTTGTTAGTTGAAGATTCATTTGATGAATCTGATTTGTGTATACATTTCTATTATATTAGGATTAGAGACAAGTTCTGTTTAGAAATAATTCCAAGAACTGTTTTTATATTTTATTTTCATATTGAAAACCAGTCAGATTTGCTGCAGCATCAGTGAGCATGTTTACGTAAAATTTAACGCTGGCAGTGAGCTGCACTTTTTTTTCTAAACGGAAAATGGGTTAATATATGTGTCTTTCTTTGCAGTACCACTGTTTTGGCTCTGTAGATTTAAAAAAGTCTTGAAGTAAGGTAGAATAAGTCTTCTAACTTCTTTGTTTCACAATTGTCTCAGCAATCTTAGTTCTTCTGCATTTCCATATAAATTTTAGAATCAGTTTACTGGTTTCTACAAAAACATCTGGGACTTTGAAAGAGATTGCAGTCAGTCTCTTGATCAATTTTAGGAGGGTTGTTGTCTTAACAATGTTGAATCTTTTCATTTATGAAAATGATATATTTCTCCATTTATTTAGGTCTTTTCAGATTTCACTAAACAGTGTTTTATAGTTTGCAGTGTATATTATACATTATTTGTTAAATTTATCCCAAACATTTTTTTTAATGCTATTGTAAATGGTACTGAGTTTCTAATTTCAATTTCCAATGGTTTGTTGTTTGTATTTAGAAATATAAATGATTTCTGTATGTTGACTTGGTATGCTGTGATCGTGAGACTAGTTCTAGTACCTTGTTTATATATTCCTTAGGATTTTCTACATAGATGATCATGGTATCATTGAATAAAGATAATTTTACTTTTCCTTTTACAATATGTATGCTTTTTATTTCCTTATTCACAGTGCTGTACAATGTTGTGCTTAATGTTGAGCTGAAGTGTTGAGAGCAGACATCATTGTCTCTTTTCTAGTTTTAGCGACAGGAAGCATAGAGTCTTAACATTAAGTATGATGTTCACAATAGATCTCTTTATAGATGCCCTTTATCAGGTTGAGGAAGTTCCTTCTTTTTCTGATATGAGAGTTTTTATCATGAATGGGTGTTAACTTTTGTTAGATGCTTTTTCTTTACTTATTAAGATGATCATATATTTTTTTTCTTTTTTAGTCCTTATTGTGATGAATTATATTGAATGGTTCTAAGTGTTAAACCAATGTTTTATTCTCGGGCTAAACCTTACTTGCCTGTGATATAGTGTTCTTTTCATGGATTGTTGGATTTGATTTGCTAAAATATTTATGTAGAATTTTTACATCTGTGTTTATTAGGGCTTTTGGTCTGTTTTTTATAATGCTTTTATCTGGTTTTGGTATCAGAGTAATGCTTGCATTATAGAATGGGTTTAGAAATAGTCCTTTCTCTTCAATTTTTTTGGAAGAGTATTTGTAGAATGGGTATTATTTCTTCCTTAAATATTAGAATCCACCACTGAAGCCATTTGGACGTGGAGGTTTCTTTGTGGGGAGGTTTTTAATCACAAATTCAATAACTGTAGTTGATATATAGGACAATTCAGTTTATCTACTTTTTCTTGAGGAATTTTTGGTAGTTTGTATCTTTCAAGGAATTTTTTCATTTCATCTCAATTGTTTATTTGCCCACAGTCGTTCATAATAATCCCTTTTATTCTTTCAGTATTTTTATAATCCGCAGTGATGTCACCTCTCATTCATTTCTGGTATTGTTATTTTGTTGATTTTAGTTTCATCAATTCTATTGTTTTTGTTTTCTATTTCATTGATTTTTGCTCTTTGTTTTCTTCAGCTTACTTTAGGTTTAATTTTTTTCTAGTTTATTAAGGCTATTGTTTGGAAATCTGTCTTTTTTTAATTAAGCATTTAATGCTATAAATTTTTTCTGCTTTACCTGCATTCCACAAATTTTGATGTTTTGTTTTCATTTTATTCAGTTAAAAATGTTTTCTAATTTCCCTTGTGATTTCTTTTTTGACTCATTAGCAGTATGTAAATTTCCAAATATTTTGAAGTTTTTCAGAAATCTTTCTGTTATGATTTCTAGTTTAATTCTATTGTGATAACAAAGCATACTTTGTATGATTTCAGTCTTTACATCTATTGGAATTTGTTTTATGACCCAGATTATGGTCTGTCTTGGTAAATGTTTCTCACGTGCATTTGAAAAGAAAGTGTATATTCTGCCATTGTTGGTAGTGGTACTCTAAAAATATCAATTAGGTCTAGTTGGCTTGTAATGTTGTTCAAGTTGTCTATACCCTTACTAATTTTCTATTTAATCAATTATTATGAGGGGAATGTTGAACTCTACCACTATAATTGTGGATTTTTCTCTCTTGCCTCTCAGTTCTATCTGCTTAGTTTTCATATATTTTGAAGTTCTGTTATCAGGTGTGTATATACATTTATTATTATATCCTCTTGATGAACTGACACCTTTATCTTTATGAAGTGTTCTTTTTTTTATTGCTGCTAATGTTTCGTATTCTGAAATCCAATTTGTCTAGTGTTAATATAGCCTATCCAGCCTTCTGTTGATTAGGATTTGCATGATATCTTTTTCTATTCTTTTACTGTCACTCTATCTGTACCTTTATGTTTAAAGTGGGTTTCTTATAAGTAGCATATAGTTGGGTTTTGCTTTCCAACCTGACTTCATTTCAGTATCAAGCCATCCTAAATGATTTTTCCTTTGATTTTCAGTACTTTTATTCTTCTTCAGCTATTTGCTCTAATCGTTAGATTATATATATAATGCACTTCTGTCATGAAATTTCATTTGATCATAAAACACTTGGAATAGCTACTACACCTATTAGCACAATTACATGTAACTATAGTTTTATTAGATATTTGTTAATGTTATATTTGTAGGTAAATTTTTGGTTACATCTTCTCTAGATTCTTCCTTCATCAGGAATGCATCTTCTGTTTTGTAATTTTCCATAAGATCTTTAACATAATATCTTTAATATAATGTATGGGTGCTAAATTAGTATGATGAAATATTATCTTACCTAATTATCTTCACACCTTGAAGTTGTTCAGTCTCTTTGAAATGGTACTTTATGATAGTCTTGGGATAGTCCACTGGTATATTTCCCAATGATTCTTAGAAGTTTTATTCTCAGAATTCAGCTATTAAGTTCTGTGGGTTGATCTAATTTCCACTTTATCTAGGTAGGTCACAAAGATGTTCCTCATTATCAGATTCTTAATCAAGGTCAGCAAAAGCTTTACGATCCTAAGGTGTTGCCCCACCTTATTCAGTCCTGAAATACCTTCATCTAATTATTGGCCTCACCCAAGATGGGTGGACTGGGAGCTAAGTAGTATGACTATACAGAACTGATGCTGAAATAGCCTAGTGGTCAATGAACACAAGTGATTAGTTTATCTGAAGTCTGGGGATCTAAAGTTAAAGTTGTTACTGCTAAATCTGTGAATCGGATTTTGCCTTTTCCTAGTTCTACTAATCCTGTTTACTTTAGGATGGCAAGGTCAGAACCTTAGATTTGGGCTTTATACCGAGAATGAGTGCTAGAACTGTTTGAATTTAACTTAGTGTGGGGGAAGGGTAATGAAGAAACCCAGTACACTGAGTTTTGGGTTATATTGAACTTTTAGTTCCCTGCCCTCTGCCTTTGCCTAAATTACTGTTTTTATAGTTAATAGTGCAAAGGTTGATTTAAACAAATAGCATATATAAACATGAGGCTCCTGCTTCTTCCTGTTTGATGATATTACGGGTGATGAAAATGAATTAGCTTTTACATTATATTTACCTGAAGTCATGGGACTTTGAACATAAACTTATTCTTTGAGAGGTACCCCTTATACAAATCCATTTTTTTGTACTGCCTACAGAAATTTGTATTTAATAGCTCCTCTGTAAATAGTTGCTGAGGATATGATTCTAAGTTTCTTTGCTTTTCACAGCTGCCTCTGAAGTATCTCTTATTGGCCTTAAGTATTGGCAGTACTTAGAAAGAGGAGCATGTCAGTTCTCTTGATTGCCAGCATCTGTGTGTAAGTTCTTGCTTTCTTCAGTAGGCATGAAAAAAATCAAGTGATGGAGCAATCCTTCCAGTATAATTATTTCCAGAACACCTTGTTTTAGCAATATTACAGAGTTCCTGATGATTGTATTTGACTTATCTGTTATTTTTCTCATTAATTCAACTTTAATAACTTTGTTGAAACTCTTATTACATTTCTAAAGTTCATATACTCTCTTGGTTTCTCTGGCTGATTCCTTTTCATCTCCCTTGTCTGTGATTGTAGCACATATTGAAATTCATGCATATAAGAAATCTATATATGCTATTTGACATTTATTGAGCATATTTTAGAACTTGACTTTGTTAGGTTTAGGGATGTCAGGGTCTCAAGCATTTTCAGTCAGTCTTGAGCAGTGAAAATAGTTGAGCAATGTAAAAGCTGAATCATATTTTTATAGGATAGTTCTTAGCGTTTTAGGACCACAGATTTCATTGAGGATTTGATGAAACATATGAATTCACTTCCCAGAAAAACACATATTCAAAATTTTATAAATAATTTCAGAAAGTTCATGACTTCCCAGTCTCCCAATGCTTTGAGAGAACACCTTTTAGGGTTACTATTACACTAGTAAAATCTTGATTATTGGCACAGAACTGGAACTTGTAAGAAACTCATAATTTTCTCTATGCCCATGTAAGTACATGTAGACATGTTTACATAAAATGCTATATATATTATTCTACTATTTAGTGTTCCCTGTTAGTATATGTAGATGTACTCAGTTCTTTTCAATTTAATTTGTATATTTTCCAAATATTCAAAAAAATCAACAACAAAAAATTATAGAAATGTTGCCTACATGAAAATTTAAGGTAAGCAAAAAATGCTTTAGATATTTTAATCTTAACAACTAAAGAGCATAAGATACATGTCTTATCATTTATGGTATAATAATTCTTACATTGTATTTCCACATTAGCAGAAAAGTAAAAAAAAAAAAAATAGGTCAACTTACCAAAATCTGACATTTGAAGAAAACTCATCACTAAAAACACATGTACTCTATGCATAAATTTTCTTAAATCAATAAAGAAAATAAGGAAATGTAGAGAAGCAAAAGGAAAAATCCTCCATGGTGAAATTACTCAAAGATAATTACTGCTAACAATTTATTTCATTTCTCTCTTTACATCTACACATAAATTATGTTAGTTTGCTTATTTTTATATGGTTTTAATTGTACTATATATATAAATTTGCATCCTGTATTGTCCCTCTCCCAATTAAAATTTTAACCATTTTTCTATATTGCTTTAGGATAGATTTCCAGAAGAAGAATTACTAGATCAAAAGTTATGACTATTTAGAAATTTTTTAGATATATATTGCCACACTACTTTTTAAAAATATTATACCAGTTAATACTTTACCATTCAGGTCTGATATTGCTTATTTCACCATACTCATGCTTGGGTTGGGCATTATAACTTTAAAAATATTTGTAATTGCAAAAACAAGTAAAAGGTTCATCACTGTTTTAATTTTTTATTTCTCCTATTTTTTGTGACATTGCATATTTTTCCATAAACATATTACTTATTGCATCCTATTGTATATTAAAACTTGCTTTTGCAATTTAAGAGTCCTCCAATTAGAAGAAAACATCTCTTTTTAAATAAAAGTGTTTAATAGAGCATGTTTGGCATGTTCACAATGTGCTGTTTCTTTACTGTAAAAACAATCATTAGTTTTTAATTAAAGATCAGTCATCCAGGTTACCACATGGAAATTATCCTGAAGATCTGAAGGATGATTTTCAAAAATGTTTAATTAATAGAAAACAATCTTCATTGCAGGGAAATGTTTCTTATTAAGAACTATGAGATATATCTAACTCTCTCTATATATTTTTGATTTATTGAGTACTAATAAATAGCAAACTAATCAGAAATTCGATATTTCTATCAGAAATAGTTAACTTATTAAAATAAATAATATTAAATATATTTTCTTCTTTTCAAGGTATCATAGACGTCGTAAGAAACTGAATCCTCCAAAAGACAGATGATATTGAAGTTTTCAGTAATCAAAGAGAAACGTTATCCTGTGTCTCATTTGCCATTTGAGAAAATGCAATCAGCTATATTCACTAATATATTATCTAGTAAAATAATAATAAAATGCCTTTTCATCTATTAGAATGTGTATTTCTTTATATAAAGTAATTCTGTATTGGACATTCTTGTTTAGAGAAACCTATTTTCTCTTAAAGATAATTAGTCTCCTCTTTATTTTTATGTGACTAGTATGATTAAGTATTTTACATTATCAGCCAAATATTGTTAGTAGTGTAAATATGATTAATAAAAATGTTTGTTGTTCTCCTGACAATTTTTAAATTGCCTTTGAAAAGAAACTCACAAGGTCCACTCAGAAAATAGATGTAATGCTTTTTTTGTGACTTCTGGGAAATAGTCACATTTTAATCAGTTACTACTATCTGCTAGGTCCTTTACATACATTATTATTAAATTCTCACAATAATTCTTTGAAGAAAGAGCATCATCCTCATTTTACAGGTAAGACTAAGTGACTTACCTATCTAGCAAGTGGGAGAGCCAGGGTCCAAACTGTCAGACTCCAAAGCTTTTTTACAATGCACCACAATGACAAAGGGGGATTTTCTTCCACTCTAGATTGTACTTTCCTATAAAGAATACAGTTCGCTTTGAGACTTTTTTTTGTGTATGTGGCTGTCTTAAAATTCTGCTAGTTTTGGAACACATACAACTCTGTGATTAAAACATTAATATCTCTAAACTAGTGTTATGAGAATGTTATGAGATTATTCTGCTGTCAGTGTCACTATATATACCAGGCTATATATCGTCCTTAATAGCATTGCTGCTCCTGTGATTTCTCTTTAGGAAGCGAGGAATCTCTTGAGGTGGAAAGATGCTTTATTCAAACTTCTAAAATATTTGTGATATTTAAAAAATTGATGTGAAAAATGATTTCACATTCAAAGTCTTGTTTACTCTAGTTCTCTTAATAAAGGAATTGTAGCTGAAGGTTCAAATGTTCAGTGAAATGTAAGGAATAATGAATAGGAAAGGAAATAATGACCACCCTTTGTTACTGAGAGGAAATGTTTTTAAGTGGTTTACTTCTTTTCATTAATATATTATTCATTTTGGAGGAAAGAAAGACTAGCTATGCCACATTATCGAGGTGGAATAAAAAATTAATTAAATGACAGATATTTCTTCAAGTACAAAGAGCTACTAAATAGAGATTGTTCAACTAAGATGCCTAAACCACACACTCACCTGTCAATGCTTAAGAGAATTAACTTTGATTTTATGGTACTGAAAATATAGATTGATACTGTAGTTCCTAGAATTTTGGTTTTCGTGGGTTGATGACTTTGAATTTTATTAAATAAGTACATATTCCATTACCAACATTACCACCCCTCTGTTATTCCCCTTCCTCTCCCAGGAGTAGTAATCTATTATCCACCATCACTAACATTATGTAGTCATTATGAAAAATCCACTTATAAAATTACATAAGGTGGGATGGTCCTTTAAATGGAATAAATTTAGTTTTATGAAAAACTCACTACCCAGTCCTTGCTCTCGTATTTCCAATGGGGAGGCGGGTTAACATGCGAGAGCATTGAAGAGCATTGTTGGTGAAACCACCAGAGGGCACTCATACATAGGTTCAGTGAGATCCCACACCCAAAGGTAGTGTGCTAAAAGTAAGGAACATGGAAATATTAGTAGGGAATATTTGGGTATTTTTTAGATAAGAACGACTAGTGGATTAAATGGCAGTAGTGAAATTGTGTTGAAATATTCTAAGGCTATTCATTTTGTTGATCTAGTCGAGCACTTACTGGACCCCTACTACATGTGAGGAACAAAATATTGTTCCTTCTTAAGGACTATAGTATCTACTTAACTAGTATCTACTGAGCTACTTAGTTTTTATAATGACTTTTTTTAACCATGAATATAATGCATCATTATTTTTAAAAATTGGAGACCAAATAAATAGAAAACAAAAATTACCCATAATTGTCTTGTGCAAAGATAACACTAACATTTTTGCTTACCTTTTTCCCCATATGTTTTGCTGTACAAATATACTTCAAAAATAAAAATAATAGTATGCATGCTGTTTTGTAACGTGCATTTTTAAAATATTTTTTTGCCATATTAAATATTCTTATTTAATGGATACATATCATTCTATCATCTGGATTATCATAATTAACTCCCTAATTTTAGACATAATCACTGTCTCCTATTGTAAATAATGCTGTTATTAACAATCTGGTGGATACTTTTTCCTTTTTAAAAAGACTTTATTTTTTAGAGCAGTTTTAGGTTCATAGCAAAATTGAGTGGAGATTTCCTGTGTCCCCACATGCATAGCCTCCACCATTATCAACATTTCCCAATTGAGTGATACATTTGTTACATTTGGTATATTAATACATCATCCTCAGAGTCCATAGTTTACATCAGGATTCACTCTTGGTGGTGTACATTCTGTGGGTTTGACAAATGTAGAATGGTATGTATCTACCATTATAGTATTATACAGAATAGTTTCACTGCCCTAAAATTCCTGTATGTTCACCTATCTATCCCCTTTTTTCTCTTTAACCCTTGATAACCACTGACCTCTTGTTGTCTCCATAGTCTCGCCTTTTCCATGTTATGTTGTAATCATATGCTATACAATCTTTCAGATTGGCTTTTTTCACTTAGTAATATGCATTTAAGCTACCTCCATGTCTTTTCATGGTTTGATAGTTCATTTCTTTTTAGTGCTGAATACTATTTCATTGTATGGATGTACTACAGTTTATCCATTCATCTACTGAAGATATCTTGGTTGCATCCTAATTTGGCAATTATGAATAAAGCTGCTGTAAACGTCTATGTTCAGGTTTTTGTGTGGATATGTTTTCAACTCCTTTGAGTAAATACTAAGGAGCATGATTGATGGATCATATGGTAAGAGTGTGTTTAGTGTTATAAGGAATTGACAAACGGTCTTCCAAAGTGGCTTGACCTTTTTGCATTCACACTAGCAATGTATGAGAGTTCCTATTGCTTCATGTCCTTGCCATCATTTGGTGTTGTCAGTGTTCTGGATTTTGGCCGTTCTAATAGGTATGTAGTGGTCTTTCATTTTGATTTGCATTTGATCACTTATGTGGACCATCTTTTCATATGCTTTTTTACCATCTATATATCTTTGGTGAGGTGTCTGTTAAGGTCTTTAGCCCATTTTTAAATCAGATTGTTATTGTTGAGTTTTAAGAGTTCTTTGTATATTTCGAGTGTCAGTCCTTTATCAGATATATCTTTTGCAAATATTTTCTTCCAGTCTGTGGCTTGTCTTTTCATTCTCTTGATACTGTCTTTTCATATAGCACATAATTTTAATTTTAATAAAGTCTAGCTCATCAATTATTTCTTTCATGGATCATGCATTTGGTGTTATATCTAAAAAGTCATCACCAAACCCAAGATCATCTAGATTTTCTCCTATATTATCTTCTAAAAGTTTTGCATTTTGTATTTAAGTCTATGATCTATTTCAACTTAATTTTTGTGAAAAGTTAAAGACCTGTGTCTAGATTCATTTTTTTTTTTTTCTTTTACACGATGTCCAGTTGTTCCAGCACCATTTGTGGACTCTTTTTTTGCAGCACTGTATTACCTTTACTCCTTTGTCAGATAAGTTAACTATATTTATGTAGGTCTGTTTCTGGGTTCTCTGTACTGTTCCATTGATCTATTTGTCTGTTCGTCAGTACTACACTGTCTTGATGACTAGCTTTATAGTAAGTCTTGAAGTCAGATAGTGTCCTCTGACTTTGTTTTTCTCCTTCAATACTAATGGATTACATCAAGTGACTTTCAAATGTTAAATCAGTGTTACTTACCTGAAATAAATCCCACTTGGTCATAGTATATAATTTTATACTTTTTTGGCTTTGATTTGCTAATATTTTGTTGAGGATTTTTGCATCTATGTTCATTTTACAGACTGACCTGTAGTTTTCTTTTCTTGTAGTGTTTTTGTCTGGTTTTGATATTAGGATAATGCTGGCCTCATAAAATGAATTAGGAAGTATTCCCTCTACTTCTCTGAAAGAGATTGTAGAGCATTGATAGAATTCACCAGTGAACTCATCTGGGCCTGGTACTTTATGTTTTGGAAGGTTATTAATTATTGATGAAATTTCTTTAATAGATATAGGCTTATCCAGCTATTCTATTTCTTCTTGTGTTAGCTTCGCCAGATACTCTTTCAAAGAATTGATACATTTCTAAGTTATCAAATTTGTGGCTATAGAATTCATATATTCTTTCATTATCCTTTTAATGTCAGTGAGATCTGTAGTGATATCCCCTCTTTCATTTCTGATATTAACAATTTGTGTCTTCTCTTTTTTTCTTAGTTATCCTGGATAGTGACTTATTGATTTTTATTGATCTTTACAATGAACCAGCTTTTTGTTTTGCTTAATTTTTTCTATTGATTTCCTGTTCTCAATTTCATTGATTTCTGTTCTAATTATTTCTTCTGCTTACTTTGGATTTAATTTGCTTGTCTTTCTAGTTTCTTAAGGTAGAAGTTTAAGATGGTTGATTTTAGATCTTTTTTCTAATATATGTATTCAATGCTAACATTTCTTTTAAGCCTGTTTTCACTACATCCCACAAATTTTGATAAATTGTGTTATTTTTATTTAGTTCAAAATATTAATTTGTCTTGATATTTCTTCTTTGACCCATGTGTTTACTTAGCAGTCTGTTTAATCTCTTAAATATTTGGGGATTTTCCAGCTGTCTTTTTAAAAAATTATTATTGATATCTAGTTTAATTCCACTGTGGTCTGAGAGTAGATGTCATATGATTTCTGTTCTTTTAAATTTGTTAAGGGGTGTTTTATGGCCCAGAATGCGGTCTATATTGGTGAATGTTCTACATAAGCTGAGATATGTATTCTGCTGTTATTGGATGAGGTAGTCTATACACGTCCATTATCTCTAGTTGATTAATGGTATTGAGTTTAACCATGTCCTTACTGATCTCCTGTCTGTTGGATCTGTCCATTTATGATAGAGGTATGTTAAAGTCTCCAAATATAATAGTGGATTCTT